CAGCGTGAGGAGCCGTTGTGAGCGCCCCGCGGCCTAGCGAGAACAGCCGTTCGGGTCGGCGAGGACCGGCTTTGGAACTGCTTTGGAGGTGCTTTATTTGGGGGGGCGGGCGGTACCTTCCTCATGCGGTTTGTGTGGAGATGAGGCGGCTAACGGGCTGTGCGGGGCTGGGTGAAGCGCTGTGCTATCTGCTAACACCCCCTTCTTTACAGTTGTCCTGGTTTATCGATGATGAGACGTAGCAGTAACACTTGGCGATGGGTGACGTTCTAGCTTACGAAGCTGAGTTACTCGGACTAGTGAGAGAGGTTAGTTTTCTCTTTTTTCTGTTTCTTTTTTCTTTTTAGTTGAAATGAGCAAGGCAAATTTTGTAATGCTTGTATTCAGAGCCAGGCATTGTAACTGTGGTCTAAATTCTGGAGTTATTTATCTGACCAAGTGTTTGCTACACCTTGAAATCATTTTGACTCCTGTCATGCTCTGTACATTCAGAGGACTCAATGTCCTTTAAATGTGAGCAGTCAGACATCAAATCAATCTATTGTTCGTTGCAAATGAGGCTCTCATTAAAGGAAGGGTTGATTAGATCCACAGACAACTTTGGGGCTCAGGTCCAACCTGTGAGATCCTTAAAACATTGTGCGGCTGCCACCTCATTCCATATATATATGTAAAATTGTAGAGGCATACAAAAACCCTAGAGCTGACAAAGTGCAGGCTGAAGTCCCGAGACTACTGGTCTCCATGGTTTAATGCCTAAGCATTTCCACCTAGGCACTTTTCTACCCGTATTGCTTATAAGAGGTAATCAGAATATATTCTGAAGTGTGAAACAGTCCTGTGAAAAAGACAGCGAGAGACAAATTTTTAAGGGCCGTTGCCTTTATGGTAGTCTGTGTTTCAGCCTTCTGGATAAACTGGCTAAAATGGGATATTTATGATTCAGAGCAAGAACACAAACTGTGATTTCTGCTGCATGTTACTGCCTCATTCCTTTGATCGACACTGTGTTGGTAGCCTAGTTTAGGGCCCTAAGTGGACACCAAACTAACAATCTCTTTCTTTTACTTCTTTGGTTGAATTAAATTACTGGCTAAATCAAGGGGCACCATTCTTTCAGAGAGGATGTGCTCAGCTGTCACTACTGTTCTCTAGGATGCGGGAAGAAATTTAGTTGAGAGACAGTATTTTCCTACCACATGAGGTACCAGTTCTTGGTTTGTTGCTGTGCAGTCTTTGGCATTTATGGACCCTGCTAGAGAAACTTTAAAGGACTTCGGCAGTTCATGGGTCACTCATTAAAGCATTAATAATCTAAAAAAAAAAATTGTTCCTATATGTTTTGTCTTGTAGTATTTGGATTTTGCTGAATTTGAAGAAACAGTGAAAGTGTTTACAAAGGAATGTAAAATAAAAGGGAAGCCACTACCTAAACCAGCAGGTGTTTCCTCAAGAGATTCAAAAGCTTTGCCTGTTCAGGTAATGCATCGTTTACACTTACCTGGTGTAATACTGAAAACACTTAAAGGCTACTAACCACCATGTGAATTATTACAGCAGTGAGGTTATCTAAACAGATTCTTGGTAATCTGAAGAAGTCTGCTAACAGTCTTCTTTCAGTGCAGGAACTTTCAAGTTTGCTTTTTGTTTGCAGAATTCCAGTCCTTTTGAACCTGAGACAGTAATTTTCGTTCATGCTATTTTAGGTGTTTTTAGCTTGCCACACTTTGATAAGACTGATTTTCACACACCGTAGGCATCTATTTTTTCGTTATGGTAAAGGTGGGTCCCCAGATCAACATGCTTGAAATTTTGAGCTTTACTTCTTGTATTCATGCTTGATTCAGGCTCTTCAAGATATTAAAGATAGGTAGAGAAACCATATTTAGGTGGTCATTGAATGGTGACAGATTTTGGATAAAACTTTTAATTCTAAGTGTTCAGATGGCACTTGAATTCTTCATTCACTAATCTACCGTTGAAAAAATGTAGTTCTTCTAGGTTTGGTTTTTCACTGAATGCTTTTTCCCTTTGCAGAAAGATCTACTTACAGCATTTGAAAATGGTGAGCAGAAAGTTTTCTTCCAGCTCTGGGAGGAGCATATTTCGTCTTCAGTCCGGGACAATGATCTGGTTGCTCAGAAGCTGGAGTTCTATCTTCATATCCACTTTGCCACCTACCTCTTAAAACACTCTATGGGAAAGCCAGTGAGTTTAGTACATGGTTCAAACTTCAAATTGCTTTTGTTCTTTTTACTTATTTATTTGTCTTTAGCGTGGATGAGGATGGGATGTTTAGTAAGAATATGTATATCCAGTTTTTGGGCCACAGTCTGCATTTTAGTTCAACCAGACCCCTTGTATTGTGAAGTAGAGAGATGAAAGTTGTAGGTGTCCTTATCTTGGAGCTCCTCAAGTATTTTAACTTGGAAAATACCAGCATGCTGATACTTTCACCCATCTCATTGTAGTCCATAAGGGATTCTTAAAACACTTACTTTGCTTCCAGTTTGGACTGAAGCAATGTGTTGACATGTAAACATTTCTGATAAAATAGGACAGCAGAATCTTGACCAGCTCAATATATTATATTGAAAACTGTAATTCCAAGCTGTCATAAAATAAAGTATCTGTTACGTGGGACTTTTAGGACAAGGAGACATTTGAGTAGCTTGGAGTCAGGCAGATCAAGCAGGGCTTAATAGCTCCTGCCTTACACCCGTCAGCTGGTACAGGAGTATTTGGATGCTTTCAGTGGGTTTTGCAGCCTCTAAGGAGCTCTTGGTCTGTTTTGTGTGCCAGCTCCCCTTCCTGGTGCTGTGTGAGTGGATTTTACGGTTCTGCACTACAGTTAGCCTGTACCCAGGGCTAAAACGTAACAGTTGCTCTGTCACCCCGTGGCCCCTCACCAGGCGGGAAGGGGAATTGGAGAGGTCTGTGTGTTGAAGTAAAAACAGATTTAATGAAACAACACTAATTCCAACAAAGGTATACAAAGCTGTACTGAGCTGAATGAATATGCAGCAGTCACAATCAACAGGAGAGCAGCCCTCAGGAGCAGGGAGAAGCCAGGGAAGGAGCAGGAGGAACCCCACAGGAGCTTCCTCCCCTCAGCAAACCTTCCCCCTTTATAATGACCATGACATCATGGGATGGGCTACACCCGTAGCTAACTCAAAACTGCTAATAGCCTGCCTAGCATGGCTGGCCTAGGATCCTGTCCCAGCCAAACCAGGACATGCACTTCTCGCTGAAATAAAGCGTGTCTAAAGTAGGTGTTTCCTTTCTGTCCCGAGTGTGGAAATGGCACTCTGCTTTAGAAATCTTTCCTGAAGTGGGCAGGAATAATTTACGTTAAAAAAGCAATTGTCCCTCTCTTCTTTTGTTGGACCTGGATGACAGAAACCACAACACTGGTTTAAATTTTCTTTTTTGAGTGGTGAAAACGAGATATAATGCTCCCTAATTAAATAAATGTTGTTTTTTAGATAATAAATATTCTGGAATTTCAAACTTGGTATTAATGTATTTAGGTTTCTGCTTGTATTTGCCAGCTTTACAGTGCAGAGTCATAGTTTTCTAAATAAATATGCTGCTTTATTTCCTAGGACAAAGCTGAACTTGAGGAGAGGATTTCTTATTTTAAGGCATACCTGGAAACAAAAGGAGCTGCGCTGAGCCAGACTACAGAGTTTCTTCCCTTCTATGCTTTGCCTTTTGTTCCAAACCCCATGGTACATCCTTCATTTAAAGAACTTTTCCAGGTAAGTATCCTTTTTGCGGACCTGGTTTTCATGATTATTTTTCTCGTGGGGTGGTAGATACTGAATGATATTTAGTTTGGTAATCACTTTTATTGTTTCCTTTAACAGAAACTATACAATCATAAAAGAACATACATTTGATAGAGGAAGGTTTGTGAGAGTGCTATTAATAAGGGTACCATCTTAAATACAGATTTTTATATTTGCCTAAATGGTGTGCCAGCTTTGTGTCCTTACATAAGAATTGCTGCCTCTCCTTCCTTTCCATACACCCTGAAATACGCATGCTTCTGGGAATCGTTATATAGTAGTTCAAGTCCGCTTACTTGTTTTGAGGTTGTTGCCCAGCCTCACTATATGTGTATATACAGCTGGATTTAAAACATGACAGCTAGGCATAAGGAGACTGAAGCAGTTTCATTTAATATGGGAAAGAGAAAGTCAAGTTTAGGAGTAATCTTCCTGTAACAGAAAGTGAGTCAGTGTTGTCTGTGTTCTGAGACTCTTCCCACCCACCCCCAAAGAAAAAATGCTGAAAGAGCATAGCTGTGCTTAGTGGTTTGGTGACTCCTGCCACAGGCATTTTTCCTGGTTAATATTTTTGTTAAATATGTTTCAGCCTTTGCCTTTGGCTGTTTCAGAGTTCAGTTCTTAGGCTTGCATGTGCAAAGTGAGAAGAGAGTGTAAAAGTTACCGTGCTTGAACTGCAAAATAGATCTCATTTGCAGGCGCACTTTCAACATGATGATGAGCTACAGTTATTCTGTCGCTGAAGGGGTAATCAGACACTCTTACACTGACTGCTTTCTTGGGCACCGTGCAGACAGCTGGTTAGGAGATGATGTCCAGAGCTGTGGTTTGACATGCTGAAGCACTGGTGTGGGAGTACCTGTGGGGAAGGTTCAGCCACCATTTCACCTGCTGACAGCTTGTTCCTGTGGTGCAAAACTGCATCTTAACTTCTTGATTATGCTGGAAACGGCTGGTTATGTGGTTGCACTTGGGCTGGATGCACTTGTCTGTGAATGTGTGTGTATACAGCTCCCATGTACATGCACACACATACAGAAATTGGTTTGTAAAATATGTGTAATATTTTGCAGGGTTGTTTGCTTGAAATGCTTCACCATCCTACCACATGGACAGTTGTGCTGGCTTCTCTCAAGCAGCTGTGGGCAGCTACTGTGGTGGGAGGCGCTATCTTCAGCCTGCATTGCTGCCACACACTTTTTGATATCAAGTCAAAGCTGAAGTGATACTTGCCCTACGGCTGACTTTGGATGTACCAGCTGATGAGGAGGTCCAGTTTAACACCAAAAAAAGGCATATACTGCCATTTTCCTTTGGGACTAGCTATAAATAATTAGATGGACTGGTTCACCTCATATATGGGATATCACTACTCTTTTTTTTAATTACACTTAGCAACTGCTTTTTTTTCAATGCCTTATCTGAGACGAGATCCTCAGGTTTATTCATAGTAACCCAGTGTCCCAGCTCTTAGTCCAGTCACTTGTATTTTCTTGTGGGAATTGCACAGCTCATTCCATGTTAGTGCTGAAACAGATTGTTTTACGTTAGAGAAAGAACAGCAGTGAGTCACTAGTCTACTAAGCAGTGTTCTTATCGCTTTTTTTTTTCTCAGGCGTCTGATGCTTTATATAGCTGGAGTTCCTGTCTGTTTGTGTAATACATCTTGAAAAATAATATACTCTCCTCTCTGTAGGAGACATGTTTCCTTTGGTAATATACAGCATACTGTGGGGCACTGCTGTCTGGGTACTGAATTGGTAAATGCAGCAAGTAAGTTCTGTACACTCTCCAGCATGGTGAAATAAGGGCAAATCTGAGCTACAAGAACAGCTTGCAACATAGACATACACAGCAGTAAATTTAGGAAGCTCCTGCTACTTGTTGGAAGATACTGCCTTTTCATCTGTTGGCTAGCTTTTTGTCAAGCAGAAACTAGCTTAACTGAAGGTTTGAAATAGAAGAAATTAGTATTCAGTAAATTCTTTGGTATAGTTTGGCTTTTTTCCTTAACTGTTTCTTTCTTGTGCTTATGAGACACTATGTCAGGCAGAAGACAGCATTCCAGTTAGTGGCTGGTTTTTTGGTCTGTTTTTTGTATGTGAGTTGTTTTTCTCCAAATCCTTGTTTTAGAAATGTAGTACCCTGATCACTTGTTGTCATGTCATGAGGCTTGCAATACTCATTGACAAAATTTACAATTCCCAGATCTTCTTAGGAGTGAAAGATGACCCCAGTGATTACTTTTTGAAAACCGAGCAATGGAAAATGACTCATTTTGTACTCTATTTGATAGATTCAAAATTCATATTCTCTTTTTATCTTCTTCTCAAGTTGATTATATTTTAAAGGTACTTCCAATTTAGGGGCAGTTGTTGCATGTGCGTGCGAGGCACCACGCTACATGATAGTTTTACTCTTGAAATAAAGCTACATCGTGTTTTTAGAACTCTTGTCTAGGAATAATACTGAACTGTCCTCTAACTTCTGTACACTTTTGTGAGTAGCTAGCGAACACATTCACTTCAGTAACAGTGAAGGGAAAATCTTTTCAATACAGTGCTGGCTGCCTTGTTTGCTAGTGGAAGGTTGCTGTGATCCAAACAGTACTTTCAGCAGAGTGTACATATTTGGTGAACAACTTGTCATCGTTTGTTTTTATTTTTAAGGATTCTTGGACATTGGATTTAAGGACAAGATTGGAAAAGTTCCTGTCTCTGACTCTCAAAGTCAGACAGACTCCTCGGCTTCTTACTTTATTTGTATCCTTTTGAGAAAACACTTTGAAGTTAATTAGAATTACTATAAGGAGGCAGTATAATTTATTGGAAGAGTGTGCTGCTAAGATTTGTTGCAGAATTGCAGTAAAGTTGCAGTTCAGTGTTTTTATGATAGGAAACATTGTTTATATTCCACACTAAAAAAAAAACTGCTGAAAAAGTTACTTAAAGACAATGTCTAGATGCATACGAACCTGCTTATTTATCATGTGACCCTTCTTTGCTTCATTGTATAAAGTACAGGATACCCAAAGGCACTGAACTGACTTGACTTCTTAGCATTTGTAAAGCTGTTAGTCTTTTCAGTTAGCCATTTTGGGGACTAGCTGAAAGTTTTTTCCAGGGCTTTTAAGGGTTCCAGACACTATTGTTTTGCTAAATGGCTTGTGCTTCAGACTACATTGCTTTTTCTAGCTGTGTTGTCAGACCTAATTTGCAAACTAACTAGCTATATGACAAATTTTCTTCTCCATTTTTGGTCAGTACAGTTAAAGGCAAGGCAGAGGGAACTGAACTGGAGTCTCTGTTTCTGGCTTGGGTTTTTTTTCCTTTTTTTTTTTTTTTTTAACAGGAGAAGTTGAAAGTCCTTTTCCTTCTATATCTTACTTTAATCTAAAGCAGCATGTTGCCATGGAGGTATTGAATGATGAGCTGGAAATGATGTTCCTTCTGTTCCTACCCATTTGCCAGGATGGGGAGCAGTGATCAAAACTCTGCTTTCACTCCCATGTTACAGATGTTTGTGTGGGAGTCTGGCATAGAACAGTTGAAGAAAATTTTCTCTCTTCTTATTCCTCATTATGGAGTAATGGACTGGATCCTAAGTGAGCCCTGAATATTTCTTGGGTATAAAACATCACTTGCCTAAAAGACTTGCATATTTCTATGTTGATTTTATGTAAAATCAGTGGTTTGACTTTTTATTTTTGCTGTTAATACGTTTAGACTGGAATTACTGTATCTTATATTCCAGGGCTGGATCTAGTATCTTTAAAGGTCAGCAAAATGTCTCAGATCTCTGTGCAACATCGTACATTGTGTGTTTACAGGATTTTTATGTATTTGTTATTGATTAATTTATTCTTGCTCTCCTGTGAAGCATCAGGCATTGGCTGTTGCCTGGGACAGTAGGCATATTTGGTCTGGTTGGGTTTGCCAATTGGTTGAATTTCTCATTCTGTGTCTCTGGAACAAACATGTACTGAAAGGATGCCCGTTTTCCTGAACTGCTCCTGCTCATACAACAGAAGGAGAATGGACAGTGCAACAAAGGTAAATGCTGAGATGTGGTAAGGATATTCTGTAAAATTATCAGGGGCTAATAATAGTAGTGGAAAGTACACCTGCAATGATGGGGAAACTAGCGATGCACGGCAAAAAAGCCCTTTGAAGTCCAGACCCCTGTCTTGGTGACAGTTATTGCTAGACTGCTTGAGGTCAGCAGGGTTGAGCATAGACATGTACTAGAAATGGGAGAGGACCTAACAGTAGCATTTGTATTTTAAGTCTATTCTGTCCTGAAATATGATAAAAACAAGCGGAGAACTCTGTACAAAGTGCATACCAGCTTTCCATTTTTAGTTATGATGAAACTGAGTTTCTTCAGATTCCCTTCCTATACCTGCTTATGCCTGTCTGCATCTTCCAGATTTCAAATCTCATTCAGTTATTCTGATGATCTTAGAGTCTATTTTTGTTCCTATTCATTCATACTGTTTAAACTCCTAAGATAGTACATATTGGTATCTTCTGAATAAGAATGTGTTAAGTATGACTCTTTGGTGTGTTGCATTTTTAGGTTAGCTCTTCATACACACTTAAGTGACTTGAGGTCCTTTAAAAAAATAATTATTTCAGCACTGAATGCCATTAGATGCTGATGGCACTTGAAATATGCACCTTTTAAAAATCAGTTGAATAAATAGAACTTAGGTTCCCGACTACCTTGCATTCAGTTTTTTTCACTTGGCTTTCTGTATCCACTTTATTGGTAGGGATTTGTATGAGCCCAGCTGTGTTCCTAAAATGACTTGTACTCTTGAGTTATTTTAATCTGTAGTTTTACACTGACACTTTACTATTTGTAGTTTGAATTAGGGAGAAAGTTAGGCCCATCTCCCAGTGAGAGTTCCAGGTATTTTCTTTGTTATTTTGTGCTTTGTGTTGCATTAGACTTTCGTTGAATAATAGAAAGATCTTTGTGCATTTTTATTTCCCAGAAGTTACTCTTTTTTTCCTTGTGGTGGACTTTCTTGTAGGCAATAATTCCATATTACAATTAAAAAGAAATAACTACATCATTGGGCCTGAATTATTTTGGGCCTGAATTATTTTGGGCCTGAATTATTTTGGGCCTAATTATTTTTTATTTGGGCAGGTTCTGTGGTTTCTACAAGTACAGGGACTGTCTTGGTATTGAATCCATGCAGGTCAGCCTTAATTTGTAGATCTGTTATGTGCCTTGGAGGTTGAGTTGGTTTGGATTTTTTATAAAGGTTACTTGAGGCCTGTCTCGTATGAAAGTTTTGGATCTGAGAGGTTATTTTTACAGTATGCTGCTCAGATCACAAGGGATCCAGAGTACATACTCACTGTTGGAGAATGTTTACTTTATCAGTGAAGGAGAAATGCAAAGAAAATTAATAGGCAAGACACGAATGAACAGCAGTATGGCAGAGTCCTGAAAACAGCCTTTTGTAAATAGTTGCTAGTCATTAGTCTGACATACTGAAGCACTTCAGGTTTGGGTGGAGCTGTGCATATGCTCTCGAGGGTGTCCTGGAGAGTTTTGTGTGTTTGCCTTGCCTGATTGACCTGCTACAGTCTGGCTTTTTACCCGTTTGCTGAAAAACTTTAATATCTGTATGACTTTCAAAGCTCTCTGTGTGGCAGTTGTGCTTGCCTTATAGCTCTCCCATGTTTTCAGTTTGGCTGCGAAGAAAAGACTTGCAGAATGGTAGGCATCTTGCACAGAGAGCTCCACACCTGCGTGTCCTCTGTGCTAACAGGAATGGAGGGTATGAAGTGTTTGGAAGCATGTTCAGCTACTGTCCCCTTCATTGCCTCATTACAAATCTGTGGATGAATTCACAACTCTTCCACCATTTTGGGTAAGGGAGGAGTGGGGGAAGTGTGTCAGGCTCCTGCACAAGAGGGCATGAAGTGTGACCTACCTGTCTGTCAAGATTTGCTATAGTCTGAATGACTATTATTGTGGAAAGATGTCAGTTTAGAATAGGGATAGTAATTTTTATGGAAATGAGGTAAGCAAGAAGGAGACAAGGCAACTACTGCCTCTCTTAAGAGCAAGGTTTCAGTGTTGCCTAAGGTGCCCTGGTGTCTGATGGCAGCTCTTGGGACCTGCAGCTCCTCTGAGAGGAGGAGGTCCTGAGAGCTCTGCTGCATTGTGTGCAGGAACTCAACCTGGCTGGAGTCAGTGCTTCTAGCAAGGTATGTGAGAGCAAGCCGAGATTAGAGAGACAGAGAGAGCAAGCACAAGTTGAGGAAGCATGCTTGAGGTGTAGGTAAGTTGTAAAGGATAACAACCAATCTCTCGCTTAGAGAGAGAAAAGCTTCTCGTGGAATTATGTGCACGTGTGTAACTTCTTGGCTGCTCATAGGAACTGGAGTCAAAACATTAAAAAGGCTTGACAATTACATGCATGACAGAGCAGGCAAGAATACTGGTAGAAACATGCAGTAGTTCACATGATGCCTAATGCGAGCACCTTAATTTGGCAGAATCACAAGCTTTAATGTGCACTGTATCTTCCTGAACCAGGAGGTTAGTCCTCTGTCCTTTATTTTCCCGTCTACATATGAATAATGGTTCTGGTATGTGTTAGGTCCAGAGCTTCCCCTCCCCCCCGCCCCTCTGGAAGCTTATATGTAGAAAGCATTTGTCAGTGTTGGGAGTTGTGTTTTTTAAAGAGAGAAGCCAAATGTGTGGTGTTACTCTCTGATTCCTGTTACAGGTGCAGTTTGATCACTGCTGCGAGGTGCCATAAATGTGAACTGCATCTGAAAGGCACGCTTTCCTGCTCCCCTAGCCTGACTTCAGATGGCAATGATTTAACATTTTAAACAAGCAACTAAGTATTAATTTTTACCCAGCCTGGTAGCTCCCTGATCTGTCTGCAGAAATGCTGTTACTGGTTATGGGGATACGACAAGGATGCAAGGAGGGTATGAGACAGCGCAGGACCAGCTCTTCCAACAGCCGTCTGTGCTTGGGGCAGCTGCGTGTCAATGATGAAAGCTTCCTGCTCTTTCAGCAGGAGAAACTTTCGTGAAATACTTTTCCTTTTTTAGTAAAATTACATACAAGTGAGAAGATAGAGATACAAAAAATGCAAGAGATGTCAAGACTTTGTCATTCTTCTTTTTGACTCCCTTTTCTCAGTGAAGACCGATGTCTGTAATTGATAATCCCTGGATTTAACAGACAAGGGGTAAATTGGACCCTGTTTATTAATTGCCAAGATTAGCATTCATGAGCTGCATTGAGTTTTGGTTATGTAGTTTTTCCTGCTGTCTGTAGTTGGAAGATGGATTTTCATCGCTGGAAACTTTCACCACTGGGCTATGAAAAGCAAGCGAATTATGAGTAGGTTTGTGTTTCATGACTTGGTGCTTCCAACTTTCCTCTGAGTGAAAGTCACGCTCTAGATACATCCACTGGAAATTTCTGAATCAAATGTGTTGTATCACAGTTAAATAAGAACATATTCCAGATTGCTCATCTAGGCATAGGAATATAATGCTGAAGAGCAGCTAGTTTTTTGCAACAGTTGCTCTCAGAATCTTTATTACTTAAGAAAAATACTCTTGTTTTGGAGCTGTATCGTATTAAAGCTGTGGTAGCAGTTGAGCAGTGATGGCTGTGGAATAAAAATAAAAGTTGAATTATTATTATCAAGGAGGAATAATTTGAGTTGTCTTTGGAAGCTGTCTTAACTCTTCTGATTTTTAGCTTGATGAATATTGATTACGGTTGAGATGGTTTTAAGAGCTTAAAGAATTGTAGAAAGTTTGGCACTTTCAGCAAGATTATTTAATGTTACTGGGAGCTGTTCTAATGTTTTGTTGTTGGTTTGGTTTGGTTTGTTTTTTTTTTTTTTTGAAGTGCATTTTGCTGGATTTGGATGGGATCTGTGGCTTGTCACAGTTTCTATTGCTCTTTCGTACTGGTTTTGGCTCCCTCCTAGAAGTATAAGAAAAATATCATTAGGGTGGCTTGATCTACAGTTTGATATCAGGTGTCAGTCGCAAATCCTGTAGGTGCAGAGTGCTGTGATTCACGAATGGTTCTCCAAAAGCAGCCATTCTTAGAGAAGAGGAGGCTGTGAAAGTAAAATAACTTTTTTTTTTTTTCCTTAACTCATAGATTTTGAAAAAAAGTACAGATTAGAAGCAAGAAAATCTACTTTCTCTGTGTTCCATGCTTTAAGACTGTCAATATATAGCTAAAGTCTGTTAATGCACATTTTCTCTAAAAGGTCCCATTAAAAAGATCATTTTGCTAAATTTTCTGAAATTAAAAATAAGCTGTTCTGCCATCTACTGCTTTTAATAAATGGGATAAAAGCAGCCTATTTCAGAAGCCTTAAAATCTGTAAGATGTGACAAGTTTTTAAAGCAATTTCCAACATCTGAATTCATAGAGCTATCTAATGACTTTGATCTTTTTCATTTGTAATGGAAGCTGAACGAACAGTTCTAATTGAATGGTATTTTTCTAGCATTTTTATGTCTCTTATGTCCATGTGTTTATTGCTTTTTGAAGCAGTTTGGCAGATGTTTGGGCACGATTAGTACGTCGCTACCTGCAACGTAACTAGATCGCCACAGTAGAAGACGACTTGTGAAGGCTTTACTGGATATTTTAATACAGCACCTCCACTCCCCATTTTTCCCTCTGCTGAAGATTACCGCCCCTATGCCAGCTGTCATGGCACAGCAGAGGTTCGTGCCCGAGCAGAGAGCAGGGAAGCAAATGGCAAGGGACAGTTTTTTGAATAACTAGACCTAAATTCTCCAGAGCGTGTTTATCGTAGCTGCAAGTTATTATATGCTGAGCTTTTTTTAAACATAGAGCATGTCTCTGTGGTGAAACTTTGTACTGCTTGGGATTCTCCAAATGAAGGTCCCAAAGATTTCTGCTTATATCAGTTATGTTTGCCAATGCTTCTGTGTTACAGGAACATATGATCTACATCTTTATGGAGAGAGAGACAGTGAATCAGAAAAGAGGATAATGGTTTCCTCAAAGATCGTGGGCAAAGTATGTTCAAAGCCAGGAACAGAAACTAGTTTTTCTAGTTTCCAATTTTACATCTTAGCTACTTAGTTTTTCTTCCCTTTGGGTCTATTTGGACCTAAGCTGTGTCATATTGGGCTGTTCAAAATGCTCTAACAGAAAAAAAAAAAAAATTAAATCTATGAAAAAGAATTGTATTTCTGTCTGAAACTCTGTGGTCAAGCTGATTCCTGCCCATTGTTTACCAGAAAATCCTATGGTAAGTATTCAGTCTGTTTGCAGATGGGCACAATGTCATTTTCACATCACTAGAGCAATACTGGCTTCTCAGCAAACTAGTTTAAAACATAATGCTCTAGAAAAATACATAAATATCAGCAGTAACAATAGAATTATTGTTCCTCCTTTCATAGTTTTGGCCAGTCATGAAGATGGCACTGCACTACACAGCTCCAGATTCTGAACCTGACTTCCATGTAGAATGCTAATTTGTCTGGGTCTGAGACTGGGATGGAAGATACAGATTTTGGTGCTTAGTTTGCTTCTTCAGTCTCTAAAGTAATTGAACCTGAAGAAACAAAGTGTATCAGAAATGGTTTTTTTTTTTTAATTTAGACAAATAAAAGAAAAATTGGAGTTATTTTCAGAAACTGAAGGTACTAAGAGTAACTAGTATAGCTTACCATCAACCAGTAAATGGTGGAATCACCTGAAGAATTTTTGTAGAAGTAGAGAATGAAGTAGAGAATTCCCTGCATCTTCGAAGAATTCAGTGAATATTTTAACAGCAGATGAAGATGAGGAACTGGATAACTTGAATGTTGTTTGGTACAGTGTGATTTGTACCGTTTTCCTTAAAAGATAGAAGACTTAGTATTTACTTTAAAATAAGCAAAGCAGTATGTAACCTAAGTATCAGTGGTCTATTTCTATAAATTAACTGGAGAAAACACCCAGCCTCATAGTATAATCTAACAAACAGTGGCATGAATCTCTGGGTACTGTCATTCTCCTGTTTTGTTGGTTCATCTTTGAAGTGGCTGCTTGACCTTTCCAGTTGCTCGGTGAAGTAATGTTTTTTACCCACTGTTACTTTCAGGAATGTAGAAGACAGTGCATTAATCTCATCTGCAGATAGCAAGTTCAGTTAACCAAGTCTGAGCTGCATTTTGTTATGTATTGTACTGATTTGATGCCCATGGCCTTGTTTTATCTCTGATAGCATGGAACTTTTTGTATTAACAGACCTTTAAAGCAGTATCCTCTTCACAAATGTATTCAGTGCTGTTTACTGTCTAATAGTTGTATTGCTGATGTAACTGTGAAGCCATTGTTTCTTTGGGCAATTAAGGCAAAATAAATACTTGTAGCTATTGCGATGAAATGAAGTCACACTGGTAGTGTGGAATTATCCTTGCAGTGAAATTCCATCCCTTGGATAAAAGTGATTCCACAGCAGTAGTCGAAGTTGTCCCTTCAGAGCAGTACAAATGGTTGTGGGTTCTTTTGCCCTTTGGAATGAAAAGGTGATGTTATTTCTCTTTCATTATTCTCTTAACAGAAATGTTGCAACATCTTCATCAACAGTTAGTGGAGTCTGAGCACAGGACCATGACCTACCTGAAACTATTTAACAAAATGCAGGCGGACTACTGTAACCTCATTGGAGTCACTGCAGAGCTGGTGGATTCCTTGGAGGCCACAGTCAGTGGCAAGATGGTAAGAAATGACTCAGATGGTGCCTGCTTCCCCACCCCACAGAAAGTGGAGAGAGAATGCCACTAAAATGTGAATTAAGCTTCATAGTTATTTCTGTAAGTCTCTCCTTACTGGTGAAACGCAGCACTTTAGATGAGAGGTTCTTCCATTGCCCCTGCGTACTATAACAGAGGTAGTACAGAAGATGGGTTGAATTGTGTTGGCTCAGAAATCTTGCAGAGACTATCATCATCTCACAAGATATCTCGGATCTCCTGTGAGAGTCCGCTTTTGAGCTTTGGTGTCAGCAGTGATTAGAGGGCATTTCTGTGATTACTGACTGCAATCCAGTCCATCAGAGGTGGTTGTATATTTACAACTGCTACCAGGTCTGTTTTAAGTTACACTGTGGTGGAAACAATCTTCTCATCCAAAATTCTGGTGAGGAAAAGCTTTGCGCTCTGTTCTGCTGAGCTGAACTTGTTAATTTTATTGGTAAACGGAACTGGGGTAGGAGTGAATGAGTGACTCACTGTGCAAAACAGGCCATGCGGATGTGACTGCAGAAGACACAACTTTCTTATGGGTATTTTTTATACAAATATGATTTTATGCTTCATCTTTTGTGCTGTGTTCTCTGTGAGCATGCCTCTGTATTATAACTTCTGTATAACCTGAAGATTATTCTTATGGCAGCTGTTAGTGGCCTCTAGATGCTTTTAAAGGAGCTGTGAATTGTTAGAAGGGAGGATGACCTAGGAGTTCCTGTGCTGCCTGCCTAAAAGTCAGTATGTACCTTCCTGCTGTCATCAGTGTGAGCATCCTGTAGTTTGTTGCTCTGCATCTGGGATCACTGTCTGCTCACATCGTTACTGCAGGGAAGAATTTGCCTGTAGTTGTGGATTTTGCTTTACAGCAGATTAGGAAAGGTATTTGCTCACATGAGCTTCAATAACAGTAAGAAACAGTCATGCATTTGCCGTTTCATACTTCAGTACTCTCCAAGGTGGTATCCTCTTACCTTCTGTGATGGAGGAAGCGAATACTGGTTATGTCTTGTTGCGGATGCTTGTTTAATTTCCTTTGCAAGCCTTGTGCTGGGCAGTCATTTGATCCTTCCCAAGTGTGTCCAGCTGAGGGTGCTCTTCCATTATGAATCTTGGTTTCTGTCATTTCTGAATCCAAGTGGAGTTGGAATAATGTCGAAGTTACAGTCATTCTGAATTTGAAGGGTTTTGTTGTCTCGCTATAGGTTTGAGCGTATCAGAAGTGTCCCCATTTGCATTTCTATAATCTGTCCTCTCACTTCTGTTCTGGGGAGGCTAATAACTGTTCTGAAATTAAGCAGTTCTATTGTGGTGTAGATTTCCCCAAACAAAAGAACTGAACCTGCTGAGATGTTTTGCATAGAAACACAAAGTGCTATACTGTGTAATTCATATTATTGTCTCTGCTGTACAAGACAGTTGTGTAAGTTCTGTTCTTCAGATAGACAACACATCAGCATATCACTAAGTCTAAAGCACAAAACTGCTTCATGCTTACTGTTGGACAGCTTACCTTTTGAGGAAGATCTGTATGCAAACATAGGTGTGACAAATTCTGGTTTTCTTCTAGACTCTCTGAGCATGTTTAGCATTAGTCTTGTAAATAGTTATAACGATTCCCAGACTAAGAGAGTTTACAGTTTTCTTAATTTCTGAACAGAACTGCAGTTGCAGTCTATACCTTGTGCTTGCATCGATGAGTCTTAGGTGTGTGATTTCTTGCCCTCTTAAAAAACCAGCTAACCAACCAAGCAAAACCCCAAAAAAATCCAATAAAAGAAACCTCCAACCTTTAGTATAGAAGCACTTGTCTGGTAAAAAGTGTAAGTTTTATATAAAACTTGTTCTCTCTTTGTTTCCTAATTTTTAGATCACACCAGAGTATCTTCAAAGTGTTTGTGTTCGCTTGTTTAGCAATCAGATGAGACAAAGTGTAGCACAGAGTATTGACTTCACAAGGCCTGGAACTGTAAGTATTAATGTTGGTTCTTTTACAGTAACTGTCTCAAAAGACAGTACCTCTTAAGCTGGGTATTGAACAATGAATGTGAGATAGTAAAGACAAAACATGGTGTGTCCAAGCTTGTGTAAGAATATGGCAGTACATAAGGTTTTGCTGATCTCAGATGCTGGTGAATGACATGGTTACGCAGTCATAGCTGCATAAGTATGATTAATTCTGTTATGATAACAGTAAGTTGTATATCTGTTAAAATGCTAACTGAATGTTTAAAAAACAAAAAAAACCACACAAACAAAAAAACCCAAAACCAACAAACCCCAACCCTCCCATAAAACTAATGTCCTGAATGTGGTTTCATGGCACATCTTGGCCATTTTAATTTACCTAAAAAAGGGGGGTGGTGTTGCTCAGCTCTGAACACATGCTCTGTTCCTTTCTGCTGTCAGTGACGCTCCTGTAACCCTAGAGCGAATTGGTTTAGCCAGCTAAAGGAGAAGCATCTGACAGGAACATGAGAACAAACAGAAAAGGAGTAAGGGAGGACTTTCTATTTTTGTAAAAGCTAGTTCACAGATGAGCAGTGAGATGATGCACCTAAGCCACCTTGTTGATTTACATGATGGGCTTTAGCCCCATATCTGAGGATCTTTAATCTTATTGATAAGCAGCTCAGGATCCCTAGGGTTTTTATCTTCCTACTTCAGCCTCTTGTTCCTTTTTGGATGGCTGCAGTATACCTAGCTGCCATTCATGTTCTGCTCGATCTCCTCTGCCTAAATGGAAATGGAGAGGGAGGTTGTTTGTGGTTGGTTTTTTTTCAGCAGCAGAACCAACTTAGGATTGTTTCTAGTGTCTGTGAAACTGTGCCCGGGGGTGTGAAATTTTAAATGACGTAGCGATAGTGTAAGAGCTATTCAGTTTCACACCCTTTTTTAATACCTAGCTTGTTCAAATTTTTCTAGTAAGCGTTAACATTAAAACTGCATTAAAATATTATGTGCCACTGCTTTACAAAGACCAGCCAAAGTCATGAACTGTGCTTGTTGGTTTTGCCGTGGCAGATATTCATGTATACTTAACTTTGTAGTAGGAGAGCCGTGAAGTGTCAAAGGAAAAGCAGAAGAAAAATAAGATTATTGCTCCTTGTTCTAGCCAAGGTTTTTAGTAACAATGACGCCATGGGTACATTTTGTTCCTCTTGAAAATCTGTTACAAAAAGATGAGGAGATAATAAAAATGTTCCCTTTTCTACATGCTAATATTTTCAGAGATAAATAGTCCTTGCTGTTCTTCAAGCTGTTTTAAATGCCCTCACTTCCCTGTTAATGGTCAGAACTCCTTTCTCTGACTTGCGTGCCATAAAGGAGCTGTACTCTGAGCAGCTTTTGCTGGCTGCGTATCCCAGGGTTTCAGGAAGGAATCAGGATCTCTCTTTGTCTGCTACCTCAGCAATAGGGGCTGTCTGTAACTCCTCAGATTTACATCATGTGCATGGTTATGCCATCTCCCACCCCATAATGTACCACCCCCGCCATCTTTCTTCAGCAATTTTCAGGGGTCTTCCCTCTTTCCCTGCCGATGGCTTTCCAAGATAATGCTTTATGCATTTTTTGCCATCTGATGTCGGGGTTGTGTGGGTCTCCCAGCTCCCCTGTACTGAGATCATCCGTTCTGTACAGCCATATGCCCTCTTCTCTGTTGCTGCTCTCTGCTTGCATCAAGGTTCCTCTTTTTCTGCTGTCTTTCAAGGTGTTCCATTTGCCCAGGGTTTCAGTCTTACTAGATCTTTTTGTTCTATCATAAGCTGATTCTCTGATCTCTTGAATCCTTTTGGGAAGGGGGCAGAGGGACGAGTGTCATTCTTATGCGAGGTGCTGATTTGTTTCTTTATCTGCTCTGCAGAGAGTGCAGAAGTGGCTGAAGCTGCGTCTTCACTGATAAAAGCTGGGTGGATTATTGCTAGGCTGCATATGTCTTTCTGTACCCCTATCACGTAGGCTGTTTTAACACAAACATCTGTCCTTGTATGGTTTAGCCTTCAGGTATAGGCATCTGTTTCCTTCTCTGAAAAAAACACTTTAAAGAGTTTTAAGAACAGTAAGTGATCACTGAAGTGGGTAAGCAGCCTTGTATAAACACAGTATTTCAGCCAGAATCTCTGTTACTGGAGGTTTTTAAGAACAAGGTAGACAAATGGATGCCATTTACAAGGAATGGTTGATGCTTGGCTACTCCTCCAGGACAGATTAAGTGACTGCTTAAAATCTCTCGCAGCCATACTGCCTCTTTTTCCTTCTGCTAAAAGATGCTCAACTGTGAAATGATTGTTGATGTTTTGCATCATGTTTATTTGAATCTCTGTTACTGGAGGTTTTTAAGAACAAGGTAGACAAATGGATGCCATTTACAAGGAATGGTTGATGCTTGGCTACTCCTCCAGGACAGATTAAGTGACTGCTTAAAATCTCTCGCAGCCATACTGCCTCTTTTTCCTTCTGCTAAAAGATGCTCAACTGTGAAATGATTGTTGATCTTTTGCATCATGTTTATTTACTTCTGCTTCTCTAAAAGCGTCTCTAAAAGCATTTCTGCTCCAGAAGTGCCTTTGCCACTATACTTATGGCGCTGTGGCCACTATTAGCACGGTCTCCAGCGATGTAGATAGGTCAGAGAAAGAGGATTTAGTGGCGGTGGGGTTTGGTTTTTTTTTTTCCCTCCTGGAAGTAAATTTTTGCCTCCCTTCAGTCGCAAATTAGGTTAAGCTGAGTAAAGCTGTGTTCTTCTGGCACAGTTGTATCTATTTTCATCCTAGGCTTTGCTAGCATAACTATTTCTGTGTGACTTTATGGCTCCTTTACCCACACTATTTGTGGTAGTTGCTGTGCCAGCAAAGTTCTGTAGTGAAGCACCAGGACAGCTATAGCATGGAGACTGTTTAGATTAAGGGTTTCTCAACTGGTTTAGGTCACTTCTTGACTGTGGTTGAAATCTAATGTTGTTTCTATAAGCAGACCCACACACTCAGACTGTCTGAGGCATTAGCCAAGTTTTGGAGGGCTAATCACAGTCTTTGCTGTAGATCTTCACTGTATCATAACCAGGTTTCCTTACCTTATCCTTTTCTCGACACTCGTTTGAGCATATTTTCTTGTTTATTTCCCATGAAGAGCATTCTGTCTTTATACATGAATAGCAAATGTGGAAGCAGAAATAAGTGTAAGAAGAAAAAATATATATAGCCCGTCTTCTGAGAAGAAAAATGACTCCTTCCTTGTCATCCCAAAATACCTCTAACCACTCCCTAACTCTGTTGATCCAGGAAGCCACATGAGATGGACTAAAAACCAAGTTCTGACTGTTTGCCACTAGGCCACTAAGGCATCCCATTACTTTTGCTTCAAGGATTCCAAATACCTCATTGTTATACACTTACATGTTATTGTTCTATCCTTAAGTGGTTTCAGGTTTTCACATAAGTTTTGGAATAAAGCTGGAGGCATCATGACCCAGGCTAAGTAGTAGCATGAGTTTGCAGCATCTGTGCTGGATTTGTGTTGGAAGGTCCCTTCACTTTTCTCTCTTAACTAATTAGAGACACTGGAGTGTGGCCTTTCCAGCTACTCCATTTCACAAAACTACTTCTGCTGTAAGGGGCAGTCGCCAGTATAATTGCAAAAGGAAGAGACTAGCAGAGGGGCAGCTCCTTTGCTCGTGCTTACCATTTGGTCACTGTGTAGGCAAGATAAGTGAGAGGTTTAAAAAAAACAGTCAATGTCTAAAGAGTTGGCAGGCATTAAATATGATGGTTTGGGGTTTTTTTCCCCCACTTTGCCTTGAGTATTCAGGATTTAACCCTATTTCACTGACACTGATATCGGGACTAGCCCCCTTAAATTAGTTTTGGCAGATCAATATCTCTAAATAGATGAGCAGAAAAGAAAAGCATTAGCAAGGAAATTTTTCTTTTTTTGTTGTACTGACATGCAGCCTTAAATTTCTGCTGCTTAGGGAATGAGTAGATGTGCATTACAACATAGTTTGGAAACAGGAGGTGCTTGAGTTCGCAGTCCGCTATAGTGGCACAACTCAGGGGACAATCCAGGCTTGTGAGCAGGTTCTGAGAGCAGAAAATGCTAAAGCTGCATTGTTCTCAGACGTGTACTTGAGTTCTATAGTATATTTTCTTAAAGCAGCTACACTACACTGGTAGTTTTAAGTTATACTGGGAAGGAGGACTGTACCAGTGCTGTAACCAAAATGAAGTATTGCCCAAGGAAATTAAAGAGTATGCCTTGGGTTATATCCTTAGTAGCATTATTTGTACACAAACTTGATTTTATTCCCAGTGCATTGTACTCTGTGCTCAATTTTTAATGTCAGGCAAGTAGTATTGTGTAACATAAAGCCTTAAGGTCTCAGGTTTTGAAATTACAATAAAGGTAGCATGTGTCACTAATGTGTGCTGTTATTGTACAATCATCAGCTTCCTGGTTTGCCCCCTGCCCGTGGCTGAAGGCCTGTCCTTTCGTACTGGAAGAAATTTATGTCAGGAAGACAAATCCCAGAACGAGTCTTTCTTACTGAACTGGCTTTAAGACCTAAGGCAATGACATCTCTTAACCAAAAGACTTTCCCAGTGTAATCGTACCCACAAAATCTTACTTAGTGAGGGCTTCTTGTGTTGGCTGTTTCTTTGTGCTCTCCGGTAATCTGGCTTGGATCTCATTCTTTCACAGGGCAACTGCATGCCTCTTGCCAGCTCTGTGACCTCCTGGGTCAGCTTGTGAGCCTGATCTGCAGTCCATTAACAGGATGCATCTGCTGCATGTAGTGGGAGAGAGGCCGCACTACTGTGTTACAGTTGGGAGATGTCTCCAAGGCTTCTCTAAAGCCCTGTTTTACTATAAAGCTTTTTTCCTAGCTGCAGTTGAATGTTATCGTCATCTTCCATCGTGTCATTTGACATGTGTGGTCCTGAACTGGGAGAGAAGAAACCTGAGACAATTGTCAGAGCAAAAGGTCTGGGTCTAAGAACCTGGAGGTCAGAGCACCAGGTCTGACAAGCTGAGGAAACAATGATTTGAAGATTTAATCAGATTCCTGACTTTATAATGTTGATTTGGACAGGGAATCGATGTGGGTAATGGTAAATTTGAAAATAATAGTTTTAAATACAGTGATCTATCAGTCCTTTATATCTTCAATACTCTTGAGATTACTGAAGTTTTCCTTTTTTTTTTCTTTTTTTTTTAACTACTCTGTTCTTTCTAATAGTGACTTGGTGAGTAAGAAGCGTGAGTTGTAGGGGGTTTTATGCCTGTAGCTTTCTGTTTAATACACATGAAGCCAAATGGATTCTGGCTCTATCACTGAAGTGTTGTACATTCAGTCCCCATCGAAAGTAGCACAGACTCAAGTCTTAAACCCCTAAACAGATTTTTCTGATTCAAGTAAAGTATACACCTTCCTGGAATTTCTTGGATTAGGGATAATGTAACAAGATTCTCTAAACTTTGGATTAAAGAGAAAACAGGATCTGCTTCTTCAGACACGCAGTTTCTGTCAATAGTCGAGGTGTGTGTTAACCACTGGAGAATCTTTCTGCGACTAGAAAGCTGTGTAATTGTTTGCATATATTGCTCCTGTGTCATGGTCTAGAATAAATGCCCATTATGTTTTTACTGCTGTTCAGTTTGATTATATTTACCTGTAGCTACAATTAGGTGAATTAACGTCCCTTGCAAGTTTTAGGTCTCTCTTGGTAGAGCTCTTGAAGCTGTGGAAAATTTATTTTTTTCTTGTTGCTGTTCTGCCATTGGACAAAAGCACCATCTCTTCTGTAGAGTTAAGCTGTTGTTTACAAACTGTAAACAAGGAGGATTTTTTTTTAATTTTCTGGAATAGCTGTAAAGACTAGCATGGGCTCTTTTTTTTTTTTTTTTTTTCTTGTGCTCTGTGCTTTTTTACTCAAACACGCTTTTTACTACAAATGTGAACATGGTATCAGGCTGTAATAGTTGTGGCAGGTATTCTGCTTCTTACTTGTGAAAGTTTTCTGCTCCAGGAGACCACATGAAACCTAGGACACAGGGTAACAGAAGTGTTTTGTTTTGTTTTGTTTTATTACTCTGAACCATTCAGAGTGGATTCACCAAGCATTGTGTAGGTGTATGCTCTTTCATTTAAAAATAATATGCACATTACAGCAAACAGCATCTGCCCTAAGCAAGCTTTTCATAGGATGAAATATATCAGTCTTCTCCATACCTGCTCGTGTGCTGTTTCTTATATGTGACCACTTATATATGGTAAAGAGGAAACAAACCTACCTCTTTACACAAGCAAAGAGAAGTTCTTTTTTTTTCTGCTGATACGGTATATGATGCCTTTTTCACAAGTTGCTGCAGGTGATACAACTACCTGCAGCAACTTGTGCATGTTTCTTTCTTTGCATAAATTCCTCACCTCTAAAGGTAAGGTGTTGCACCCTCTAAAGGTAGGGGTTTCCACAAACTTTTCCTGTTATTGTCCTCAAATCGTAGAATGGGTCAAGTTGGAAGGGACCTTGAAAGGTCATCTGATCCAACCTTTTTTGGTTTCCTTTAATGTTAAAACTTTGCTTTAATTCATCTCTGTCTTGATGCCTATATACATTTTCACTGGCTTAGGTCATGTGTACGTTGAAATGTCCTCTTGTTATACAGGTTATCTCCTGGTTTCTTTTGCTCACTTACTGGTCTCTACCAACATTGTCCTTTGTCTTTAAATTTAATTTTAAAATGTCTTTGCCAGGAGCTATCTGCATGTGTGTATAGCACCATAAAAGTTAAAATACTCATTCACATCAGAGAATTCTGAGTAATAAAAGAATAATGTTAGATTTTTAGAATTGGTTAAAGAATAGAAAGAACTTTATTTTCTGCTCCATGAAGAGTGGCAAGTTTCTTATACCTTCTGTATATGTCTGTTATGTCTGCATATGTCTGTTAGAGGAACCTGCTAAATATAGTGTTTATGTGCTTATCCATCTGCACAAATATGTCCTCTAAAGTAAGTATTGGCAGGTTTGTGCAAAAAGACTAGAAGCAGAATGATTAATGTTGGTCTTCTTTCATTGTGTTGAATTGTGTACTTTTATTTTGAATTAAGACTGTTCTTTTTAGATACAAAGCTGTTCTAAGTTAAATATTTTATTCTAATTAAAAAGGGAATGGCATGTTTTGTACTAAACTACTCAAACCATGAAATAGCACCATTTTTTATTTTAGTAACTAATCTTAGGTTTCCTTCCAGAGACTTTTTCTTAGTTTATCTTGGAGCCTTTTTGAGGATGAGGAATTGATAACATTGCTGAAACACCTTAAATTGTCTTTCTCAGCCTTCATTATGTGCTAATGAGAAACTCCAACCAAAACAAGTATGGAGAATACCTGCAGCTGCTTTCTTAGAAGCTGAGGCCTTCTGATTGATACCACCTTCACTGGTATCTCTTAGCTGCTTCAGTGTAGCGAACATTAGAAGTCATATATTCACATAAATGTGTCAGGGCTTGGTGTGTAGCTATTCCAACTGACAGTTATAGTGGGATAATGTGCAGACTAGGTATGTTTGCCAGGTGTTGAAAGGAGAACTTGTAATGTAAATATATCACAAGAGACACACTGATTTCAGTCCTAAAACATACATGCATATGGATTGGGAGAAGGTGCTTATACTTTTCTTTTCAAAGTTAATAGTCTGTTAATTTTTAGCTGATTTTGATTTGTCAGTTTTTTAGAACTGTGCATTTCTCTGTGATTTATTTCTGTTAACTTATTTTTTTAATCTTCTTTATTTTAATGTGTGCCTGTTTGCCCGTAAAGGGATATTACTCTATGAGCCCTTGTGATGACGGATATGTAAGTGTCTATATCTTTATATCCTTTCACATTGCCTGCTCAGTCTGTCACTGTCTATATTTCTCTTCGTTTCACAATGTGTAACAATTTTCTGTGTGTTTTAACTTGTCCTGACATTGGCTGTATGGTTTTCAAAGAGCCAAAAAATGTGCAAGGTTTGGAATTTCTGCATGGGGAACAGATAGACTCTCTGAATAACCTTATGGCTTCATAATACACATAACACAGCATGTCAGCAAAAGAGCAGCTTTGTCCACAACCTTTATATGAAACATAGCTTCTTATAGCATGCAGAAAGCAGTTGTTTCTTCCACGTGAACATCAGTGTATATAGCATATAATGTACCTGAATTGTGCCTACACTAGCTGATCCCACACCACCTTTGACAGAGCAAATAAATATTAATGTTTTAAGATAATATAACAAATTGAGTTGTGCTCTTCAAAGGTGCATCGTATTTTATGTATTTTTATTTTTAATTTCTAAAGTGAAACTTCCTTTCTGTAGTAAAGATTATAAAATTCTTTCATACAATTAAAATGGATGCTCTTTCATTGAAAACTGAAAAAGCAAAACAGTATTCTGTGTACTGCCTGTGACTTCTGTAACCCAGATGGAAGTTTGTATTCTGGCAATATTACAGATACACCATAAGTATCTAATTTTGCCCATAGTCAGTGCATTCTTTGCAAAGAGAGGAAATGAGTCTACTTCTAAGTAAATCGGTAAGTAATCAATTCATAAAAGTGATTGACACCAATTCTGAAAAATGTGAGTATTCTACTTTAAAATAATCCGTATTTATATTTTTATTGCTTTCTTTGGGTAAAACAAAATTTCATCTTTCAAGAAAAAATAAGTTTTTTCTCAAACGTATTCATCACCTGGAATTACAGTAACCCCTGTGGGCACTTAACTTCCTGCTTAAAACAACATTGTTTTGAGAGATAGTCATAGAATTACTGAATGCAATGAACTATTGCTTATGTGCTTCTTTTTATCTTGATGTAGACAATACTACCCACATTCACCTGTGTTAAAAGATCACCTGTATCAATCAACCTGTTCCTGTTGGTGATGTGAGTGGTCATAATGGACAACTTTTGATTGAGATTTAGCATTTTGTTCCCTCTTGTAATGGTCTGTGTTGAGATGGAGAGAAGTTGATTACAGATGAGCAATTATGAATAAAATGATCTTTGCTAAAGGAAACTTTTGCCCTTATACAGGTAGCCTTAGTTAAATGTAACTTTATACAACAAAGAATGTAATAACTTACAATGCAGAGTTGTTTATAAATTTTTTTGAAAAGCTATCTGACTCTAATTCTGAGGTATTTCTTGAACACATAGATAGCTTTCAGCCTCCCCTCACTCTTTATATAAAGTATTTTATACTCTTTTTTTCTGACATTTTGTCTTGTCATCACATTACCACATAGTATTACAGTGTGACTATTTTAATGTACAATTCAGATGTCTTGGAGAACCTGTTTTATATGTCAAGTAGGAAGTTTTCATAACACCGTATCTCCAGTATAAGTAAGAGAAAAAAATATAATTAAAAACATTTGTAGATCTTCTTACGAAATAAATTTGCATAGCCCCAGTAGACCTGCCAGGTTACACAAGCTCAGTCTAATCTATCATAGGCTGCATGTAGGAGTCCTTTTGTCATTAGCGTATAACAAATGAGCTCAGCACAAATTTATAAGTTCTAATGATATGTACAGATTTGCTTAAATTTGGTTTTACTCTTCACATATTCATCTGTATCTTTGACTATTAATTCTGAATCTGCATTGAATTTACACTGAATCACAGTGCATTTTCAGAGCGGTTACTGAGGACAGAATCTGGCTTTCAGCTTTAGCCTTCATCATATTATGAATATATACATCAAATAGCAAAGTGGAGTTGGTTTGAATACAGGGCTACAGTATTTGATAAAATCAGTGTGGTTTTGGCTTGCACATGAAATGCATCTGTTTTGTTTTATAAATATTGATTTTATTTTTTTTCTTTGAACTTCTTTGTTTTATTCCATGCTGTTTGTATTCATGCCTTGCTTCGTTCAAAAATGAAGGACTGCCATCTGTGGCTAATCTGCATCACGACAGAATTACTTGACTTAATATAGCACCTGGTTTGGCTTTGGCAAGAACCAACACAAACATAAGTCATACCCCGTGATCCTACCAGAATGAGCTATGCTTGGGCTGCTGTTTTCTTGTGTTTGTTTCTTTTCCTTTCCTTAAGACACTTAGTTTCTGCATGTGTTTCAATTATGACAAATGAATGCCTCAAGACAGGTTTTGCATGAAAAGTGTTTTGTTCCAGATTAAGTCCGTGTATGTTGGGAATCGTGTATTGCAGATGAGTTGTGTATGCCCCGTGTTCTTCACACTTTCATACACTGGCAGTTTGAGGAATACTGTTACTCAAAATCTTGAATTAACATTTAACCTCTTTCAGGAAAGGTAAGATTGGGGAAAGGGCTTGGAAGAAAATGCTGAGGAAATAAATGCTTTTTAATCTAAGAAAACTGGTAGTAAAGAGGAGCTACGTAAACTTGGCTGTCTGAGGCATCGTCTGGTCGTTGACATGATGGATGTGTAATGAGGAGTTACCTGTCAGCATTGCCTTTGATTCTGTCTGCCTTCCAGTCTGTGGCCTTGGATTCATCACTTGGAGCTGAAGTTCCTAATGCTTCTACTAACCTTATAAGAACATTAAGAATTTACTTTCTATAGAGTGCTCTATGGGCTATGAAGGCACAGTGCTGATGGTTTTACTTTTTGTCCAGTTATTTAAAAGCAGCTATTACACAACTAAGTCCCAACTTTCCAGCATCCAAATACTCTTTCTCTCAAAAGCACACTACAGTTGGAGTTTTTGCACTATTGCCACGGAAATGACAAGATATCAGTGTTTAGATTTTAGAATGAGCTCCAGGAAAGAGAACAGATCTGTGAGGATCAAAAGACCAAAAGGCTAAAGTGGGCCCTGTTCTGCCCACTTCCAGACTTCAGTATTAACCCTTTCCTCAGTTAAGTGTATCCCTTTGTTCCTAAAAATAATTTTTAAAGGCTTCATGTTTTTACATGTATCTGCAACGTAGAAGTTAGTTTATAAAAGCATATGGCTAAAGTTTTGCAAAGAACTTAAAAAGAATTTTGCTATTAATTTGGTGGTAGGGCAGGTCTTTGTTCCCAAGAATCTCTTGCTTTTGCTTTCTGTGATAGCAATGTGTTGAGAGGGGTGAAGGCTTGGTTCAGCTGGCACTCCTGCCGGATATAATGCGTGTAGAAGCTTGGCTTTGGACCTGCTGTGTACGGAGATAATGGTGAAGACTATGGACCTTTTTCCACTGGCTAGATTATATGTCTTAAATTAAGTAAGTGTGCTGACATAAGTAAGCCCAAGAGCTGATTTGTAGGACCAAACTGTTTTTGAGGTGTGGTTTTCCTTTTGTTAAAGCTAATGCACAAGTCAAGAACTAGAGCTTAACACAGCTTTCTGGGGTTAGGTTATGTAAAGATATTTTAAGTCGGTAAATATCCTGAGATTGGGACATCTCAGATCTGTATCAAACAGGAGAAACGGAAACAAACAAATAAATATGCGAAAGGAGGTGCTGAGGCCAAAGTGTATTTGCTTTGGTGGGCTGCCTGCTAGGGAATTCATAATGCACATTTACCCTTCCCTGCCTGTGTGGGGCAAGGCATGTTGTGAGGTGGAGAAGAGCGCTCTGCTTAAGCAATAACAGTATTAAACAGAGTTAAAATAAAATGTTAGGATGGGTCTGTAATTTGCTTTTTTAATTAGAAGTGTTTATGTGAGGGAAGCCACGAAATTTTCAGCAGAGTATGGGTCATATTCCCCAGGCTTAATTTCCACCTGTGTCCATGAGCTAGTGCTTCCTATTGCCAAGACTGCTGCTTCCAACTGGTCAAAGCTGCTGGCATTAAAAATGAGGCGTGGGGCTTGGTACAAACAGCTATGGCCTGTCAGGGGTATCAGCTCAAGCTCTGAGCTGGGACAGGTGCCCCTTGCTGCTACTGCAGGAGGCAGCAAAAGCAGCCAAGGAATGGGTGCAGTGGTGGTGCTGGCCAGACTGGCAGTGGTCTGGGAGTGAGAGCTGAAGAGTCCATGATATGAGGAGGAGAAAGGGTGGCAGGGTAGTGGGGCTCTGAGCGTCTAGGGTGCTGCACATCTTTCCTTTTTAAAAATGAGGATAGAAAGGTGAAAAGTTGAGAGTCTGTGGCAAGAGGTAGCCTGGATGTTAATTTGAATGATCAGCACTTGGTGATACTGTATTTGGATCACTTGTTTGAAAATTAAACTGACGGAAAGTCTCTTCAGACCCATTTAGCAATAGATGGAGAGCATGCGATGCTGTCCCGCAGTACGCTGCCCGGCTGTGCGCTTCACAGGGTGCCTCAGCTGTCTGACCTGAAGTAGAACTTCAGTGGAACCTGAAGTTGTAGCCCTATGAGCCACAGGAGAGCTGCTGGGTTGCATAACTACCAAAAAATGCCCAGAAATATAATTCTCTAGCAATATTTTACTGCAATTCTTGTTCTCAGAAAATTACTTAAAATAGTGGCCTAAATAAATGCCAAACCAGGAAAATACTAGTACCAGAGTTGTTACTATACTCTAACAGCCACTGTTAACCTATTTTGCAGAACTATTCTGTCATAATCAAACACTAAACTTCTTGGTATTCTGTTTGTGGTGGTTGTGCCATGAGCATTCAGTTGTTTAATTGCAAAATGATAATTTTTAGCTCTTGCACACTGCTATTCATTCATAAATCTCAAAAACAAGCTTATTTTAAGAGATTGATCCCTGTATCTGCTTTCCAGATGAGGAAAATCAAGGCCCAGAGATGTGAAATGACATGTTTTGAGAGCCAAGCCAATGTCTTGCTCAACGTTCCGTACTGGACAGATACAGATTAGCTTACTTATGACTAATTGCAATTACGTACGTGAAAAAAGGAAATCTCTGCCTATAATATGGTTGCATTCTTTCTGCTTATCAGTGGTGCTGACCATGGTCAGATTCAGAAATGAAAGTGCAGCGAAGGACAAACTAACCCTTTTTTTTTCTTTCCCATTTCTGTTTTGCCTTATTGAACCTGACGTAATGTGAACTGTACCTTTATTGCTTTCCCAAAAACGCCAAAAGCCTGAGAGAGCTTTCTTCCTCCTGTGCAGCTTCTAGACTGATAAACTTGGGTCTGATCATAAAAGTGAGTGCTGGACAAGAAGATTCTCCACCTCTGTGGTCCAGCCCTCAGAGCTCCAGTACAGGGTCTGCCTCACTGTGTGGTACCTTTTTGGTGCAGATAGACTACAGATGATTTGTGATTTTGTTGTGCGCTCAGGTACAAGATGATAGGTTTTGATTGGAAAAACAGTTTCGTTTAAACAAAAGTTAATTTTTTATATTTATCAACAACGCTAAGGAAAATGAATACAAATAAATGAGGGGAAAACAGTTTAGGTAGATATGATACTTTGAAAGACTTTCGTATTGTGTGAAATAATCTATGATTTGAGAACTGCTGTCAAGACAGGTTAATTTTGAAGTGTATGACCTGTTGATTGTCTATTGTGTACAAGTCATTCATTGACTTAACGTAGTATAAAATGCTTTCCAATGTGCGTATAAGCTTATTTCACATCTAAGAGAGCAGTTCCTTGTATTATGAAGGATGCCACGAGGTAGTGTGTTCACAAATATGTCAGCTGGTGTAATTCAATATTCTCTGCGGTATTTCGTGCTTTTTGTCTCCTGAATCCCTCAGTTTTAAATCTGACAATAGACATTGATGATATAGCTGCTATTGAAAGAGGCTAGGTTAGAAGAGAAGAATGGTTTTAAAGGCATAAGTGGTAATGAGAGATTTTTTAGAAAGTGAGTAGGGAGATCAACACAAAGAGATGACACTGAATATTCTGCGAATATGACATGTAGCTGACATCAGAATGCATGATATGAAGGACTCTTATGCCAGAATTGCTGCTGCCTGGCTCACCTGCAACTACCTCAAGCAAAAAATATTTACTGAAGCAGACAACTTTTATATGGTGTTGATATTTTTAAGTTTTGATTTGTTCAGCAGTGGTGTCTGCGTATGCTCTGTGTCACACTGCATCAGAGAGGAAATATTGAGGCTTAAATTGAACTTAGCCTAGGCAGAACCACTGAGAAGTGGCTTGCTGTTCCATATCAGTTTTATCCATACTAGAATACATAGTCTTTTTTTACATATTAATAGTTACATATAGGGGCATATGTTAGTAGCAACAGGCATTCCGATAACATTAGTGTCAAAACGAAGAATTACAGCAAATTTGGATGCAGCAATATGTGCCAGGTCTCCAGTGAAATAGTATTGTGGCTTTAATGGATGAAAATTTTTTAAGTCGATAAATGTGTTTAGCGAGTTCTTCATCTTCCTCAGTGGGTTTTGGATGGTAGTTTCTACTCACTTTTTTCTTTTTTTTTTTTTTTAAAATGCTTCAAGTGTAGGTAATTTTTAGAGTGTAACAGTAAAGATAGCATAGCCAGATCATAACAAAAGTGGTTTTTACTTGTGAAACACTTTAAGGGAAAAGAAAGATAAGCACTGAAGTCCCATCTTTCTTCAGCTGTGTTTCTATTTTGCAACACAGATTTTATAGGAAAAGAACTGTGGACCTCATTAGTAACACTGATGATGTGAAACTTGGACTGATCTGTTCTGATTTCTTTTTTTCTTTCTTTTTCTGATCCAGGCTTCCACAATGTTAAGAGCATCTTTAGTCCCTGAGTAAGTATTGGGGCTTCATTTATGTGTGTAGAGAAAAGGAGGAGGGGGTTGTAAACTCAAGTGTACTGCAAGTCATCTGCAAATGGGAATCGCCACCCTCTGTGTGCTTCCTCTGATCTCAGTAAACATTGTACACAATTATTGCAATCTGTATTCTTTTGTT